TGTTATTTACCTCCAATCTAAACTTTATGTCAACAGCATCATACCCGGGTATGTTTTGCGATTTCAAATTGCTGTATCTTTGAAACCATACATAGTTTTAACTTGAAATTTCATGATATTCTCAACAAAAGTATTCTACACCATATTCCCATTCCCACGACAGCCGGTTCTACGTATCGGAATGACTCGGGTTTTACCCGACCAAGGGCTGTTGTTGGCGATCTAACCCCGTTTAGGCCGGCGAAATCCCAATCAAAAGTTGTCGTCCATAGGGCTACATCTTCTTCGCATACTTCTGCTCAGGGCTGGCATTGAGTCAAACCCTGGGCCAGGAACATATACCTGCTGTGTCTGCCAGAGACGATTACACCACAACTTCACCTCCATCAGACGCAACACGTGCAATGGGTGGAGCCATCTCCGAGTTTGGTCAGGCCTCACGAATTATAGGCAGTGGACCACCGCGTACGTGGCCCCTTCGCTGCACAGTCCGCCTGAGCAGCTCAACACAAACACAACCGCACCCCAACACAATACAATAGACAATACTACTAATACAACATACCACACAAGCGATACAACTGCACCACCCACCCACACGCCACCGTCAACAACTCTTAGTTCATCCGACAATCTGCACGGTGTGTCAGTCCAGGATATTCTGTAATATGACATAAGTCAAGTGCAATACTTGTCTTGGCTGGTGTCACTTTAGGGCATGCTCTGCGCACCACGCAAGATTGGACGAGGGACTATGAGCGCCCATGCCGTGCTGCTCGGTCGCAATCCCCAACTGCGACGCCGCCCACTAACACCACAGGGCAACAGCCTCAGCAGCAGCAAGCGCAGCATATGGCGGCTCGGCAACACACGTCACTAACACCCCACATTCCAATAAGTCTCCCAAGACACACGAAGATTTTACAATTCAACTGTAACGGACTTCAGAGCAAGATCGAGGAGATAACAGTCTTCATGGGTCGGCATGGAATATTAATAGCTGCGGTCCCAGAGACGAAGCGGCACGGCTATTCGACATTGTTGAATTGCGCCGGAAACAACGTGCACCATCGAGATCGCGAGCGAGATAATGGTGGTGGTCTAGCGTTCATCACGCATCACACCGTGCAGTATCGTCTTATCGACCGCAGGGATACCATTCTAGAATGTCAGGGTATTGCTATACAGTCAGGCGAGGCCGAGCTCGAAATATTTAACGTATATATACCCCCTGTCACTAGCTGCCCGATAGGATATCACCCTGAAATAGGTGCGCTCCTCAGAGGTGAAAACCGTATGCTAGTTGCTTCTCGCATCGTGCTTATTTATCTAAATATATATTTTTTTTTTCTTCTGGTATCGAAAGTGTCAAAAACTGTTCTGATTTTTTTCTTCTAAATCAAAGCGTGCCATGCGAAATGAAAATAAAATTAAAAATTTAATATTAAAATTGGAAAAAAATTAAAATTGTTGCAACTTTCTTTCTTAGTAAATCTGTTTGCATCTCGAAGCATTAATCCATCCTTTGCCAGGCCCAGTAATCAGCGGTTGTGCTGCTGAGTTGGGCGAGCTTTCCAAAAACTGCTATTCAATCGCTAATTTATGGAAAAAGTTTTCACGTGCAACTAGATTTTAACAATTCAGAATTTTTGTGAGAAGAAATTAAAAATATGTATATGACATTTTCGTGACCAAATAATTTAAAACAAATCAGATCAGCTGCTATACTAATACTACCTGTTCAATGTGCCTTGCCTCCTGCCTTTCATCTTCGCTTGAAGAATCTAGCATCATTGCAAGATCGTTTGTGTAAACACCGCTCACAAGCCAAACCAGATATGTCAGATTTTTCTAAAGCTTTTTCGGAAGAATTCTTCATTCTCATTAATTTGGCTGCTTCATACTTTGGAGAACATGTAACGTCATCAGATTTTCGATTTTAGTTTTTGTAATTCACTTTTAATACTTGCTTCGGCGACTAGTTTGAAAAATGTGTGCTTATAGAAAGCTAAAAAGGTGGATATGGCAAATAAATTGTTATTTTCCAGCGATGAAAATTTCGCACAAAATTGTGTTTTCAAAGTCGTGGCTGCTAGCTGAATCAGATCAGAATCTTGTTATTTTTTTAAAAGGTCCCCCGTTTTTCTATAAAATGTACAAAAAAAAATGCCAAAGGTGATATAGGTGGACTTTAAAGATAATTTCTTGTGTCAGAAATTATTAATCGATCATATATAATTTTTTGACATTGGAATTCCTATTTTACTGAACCAGCTATCGCCACTAATCGTAGTATTGTTTTATGATATAGAATAATAGTTGGAGATCCGACAAGGGCACGACATTGAACCATCTGTTTAATGGATGAAATCTACTTTGTATGAAATTTAACGGGTTATGAAATATTTCGGGAATTGATTGGCTGCAAAAATCCTGGCCAGGACATTTTTAATTAAATACTCAAAAATTTTAATTTTTTTTAATTTTCCACTCATTTGTTTTATGAACCAATTACATATGTATATACCAAGCGAAAGTATAAATGCTATAGAATGTGCTAAACAGATGAGTGAAAATTGCTAGTATTACCTACCTATTCATAACTGCCAACCCGATTGGTAGGCCAGGAAAAAAATAGACAACCCAACGTTTCCCCATTCTGTTGGCTTAATACTTTCGATTGGTATATATGTACATAATTTCTTCATTAAGACAATTAGTAAAAAATTAAAAAAAAAACAATTTTTGAATATTTAATTAAAAATATCTCGGCCAGAATTTTTTCAGCCAACCCACTCGCGAAATATTTATTAACACGTTAGTTTTCATACAAAATAGGTTTCATCCATTAAACAGATGGGTAGAGGTCATGCCTTTGTCGGTTGAGAAGAACTTTCAGGATGTTTCCTGTGACTACATTTTTCATTCTTGAACTTGTATCCAGTATTTGATACTCAGTCTAGTTATCTGACTCCGGCCCAACTTCTTTGAGATATGCCCCAATCAAAAAGGGCGAGCAGCTACGATTTCAAACCTTAATATTTTGAAATCTGGGAGTAATTTGGAATGGATTCCTTAAGGCTGCGTTTGGCTAAATTTTAATAATACCCAACGATGCTTGAGGACCACTGTGCGTTCATTGATAGCTCGGTTATATACATAGCTTGAGAAATAATAGGTTTAAAGACACGTTTATCAAAGTTGATAAATCTGACTTTTGACCAGATTTGTTACACAAATACTCTTTTGTGCGACAAAAAATATTGGCTTAAATTTGTCATTTTGTTTGCCAAATATACATTCGCATTCGCAAAAGCTCAGCATTAATTATGACGAATGCGAAAGCGAATGCGAATGTCAGAATTAATGCGGAAGCTCCGCGTTTGCGAATGCGAATGCGAATATGTATGTATATTAGGGCCACCATAATCTTGAACCCATCGACCAGAACACTTATTCCCGATATATACAGTGTCTTTGGTTCTGACGTTGCATTATTTTGAAGTATTTTCTGATATTATAAGCAATGTAGTTTTGTAGCACAATCCGTTCTCAAAATCTGAATCATAAAGGAAAAGAAAGAGAAATCTCTTGACGGGGGCGTAACTTGGAAAAATGAATGCTTGCCTTACCACCATTACCAAATTTCCATACATCCTCCAATACGTTTCATTATCATTTTTGCCATTTCGTATATGCATAACCTAAAGATAATTTAGGTAGGCTGTCTGAAGTGAAGCCCTTCTAAAAGACTTACCCAATAAGAACCGAAAAAAGTGCTTTCCTGCATGCTTCCTAGAAAGGGGTTTCCTATTTACAATTTTCCCACAAAAGCCCATCTGGAAGCTTTTCTTTTAGTAGCGAAAGCAGATGCCTTTCAATTTGAGCCACACCGTACAAAAAAGAAAAGAGAAAGAAATGACTTTCAGAAAGGCCGTTTGGAAGAGATTTTAACTCCTGAAATTATCTACTGGATAGTAAGTGTGACCCCTCAGCCGGGTACTTGTTCAGACGGTAAACTCACCATATATTGTTCAACATGTTCGAAAAAAAAAGTTTCGTTATCGATTTTCGACTACTAATGCTTTTTTCAAAGCAATAATCTGCTAAAAATTTACCTTCATTAAAAAATCAGGACAATTCAAGTGTGGACCAGGACACCAAGAAAACTGGTTTAAATCAGGACAATTCCTGGAAAACCAGGACGTCTGGCAGCCCTAATGTATATGAATGTATGTATATGTGTATTCGATAAACGTATTGGGGTGAAGTAGATGTAAAAACACGAATCTTACTCTGGTTTTGTTTCGATGACCGGTTGACTAAAATTTATTTATTACAGCTCTTGAACGCGATGCAACAAGTATATGCCACACATACTAATGACTACTTAAAAGCTGGTACTTGCGCCCAATTAAATTCCTATATTCACATATGTATTTATACGTATGTATGTGTATATATGCACGTACATATGTATATATAGTATATGTATGAATGTACATTTTTACGGTGACATCCATACATATGTATCGCCTTTAAAGATATACTAGTAAATATGTGTACAAGTAACATTGCGGTGGGTCTGGCTTTGCGCTTCTTGTTAACACTTTTGCTTTTGTTAGCAACACGGTTTTAACAGTTAAATGCATTCAATAGTTCATATTGATATGTAATGTCCAGTATTTCTATATACTTGCGGCTGGATATATTTATTTGTATTTGACTACGTGCTTCTTCACTTGGGTGGAGTATGTACATTTGTTTTCATGTTTTTGTTTACACTATCAACAGATTGATACTACTTAAACGACTTGGTTTTTTTTTTAATTTTTCTTTTTTATATGTACTTAAAAATTTTGGGACGAACAGCCACGATAAAGCCATCAATATCGATGGTGTAACATATGGATGCGCTATTTGGTTAAACCAAGTCGTTGGCGGTCATTAACGATTTCCTTTATGTGAAGACAACGAATATAAAAGACCTGATATCTGCTGCAGAAGACAGAGTTGCTTGTGAATTGAACCACTGAGGCCACGTTTTTAGTTGGACGGTTTCGAATTGGTAAAAGTTATATAAAAAACTTGGTGAATAAAATGAAGTTCTTAGTTTTGGTATGTTGGACATAAAAATCTTGTGAATATTATTGAATAATTTTTATCAGCTGATTAAGGACTAATCAATCAATTAGGGCACTGTGCGGCGTTCAATGAAAATTTTTTTAGCAAAAAACACTTCATTTCTAAACATTTAACTAAACAGTTTCGAGCTCCCATCTTTAAAATTTTTAAACACATGCAACCAAGTAATACATAAGTATATGGGAAAACTCATCTAGTATCCGATTTAGATAAAATTCGGTGAAGTTTTTATAACTTGAATTATCCGTGTACAGTTTATATAAGTATATTCTTAAAGGGCGGCTGAATGGTTAAAAAGTAGCAAAAATGTCAACATTAAAGTCAAAATTAAAATAGTAGTTGGAAATGTTACTTAATTGATTTTAAATGAATCATAACTTATTTATCAGACAGTATTTTAATGAAAACATTAGGACGATGAAATTTAGAGAACCCACACCTCAGCACTTTGTGTTTATTTAATAATGGGCGAATACACTTATCCTCAATACGCGTTGTTGCCGTCCTCTTTGAAGCGTTAATATTAGGTTTGCCATCTGAATTTAAATACCAGAGTTTAATTGTTTTAAATTAGTGAAAAAGTTAAAGTGGCAGTCAAAAGCATACGAGTACAATTTGCTGCTCAGAGGCAATTTAAAATTGTATGTTCGTGCATTTGTATTACAGTAGGGGTATTCACGATCCGGTGCATACTGTTTGGCATGGTGCAAGATAGCATAAATGGCATGATTGTTATTATTTCATGTATTGACACAACAACAAAATTAGCCAATCATGTTATTTATGCTATCTATGCACCATGCTAGACAGTATGCACCGGATCGTGAATACCCCTAATGAAAACTGCACATCACAAGTTGTATGTGCATACTACATTTATATAAGTTCCTACATATGTATGTGTTAAAATTTTTAAGGAAGTGACTTTTTCAGAAAATAATACTTATGGCGCGCGCCTTGGTACTGTCACAAAAAGGGGATGGACCTACAATCTTACGCCGACTCCGAACGGAGATTGTATTTTTATGAGAAGCTGTTTTTTATGACAGATATACACTCGGAGATTTGCCATTGTCTGCCGAGGGGCGACCGCTACTACTTAGAAAAAACCTTTTTGCTATTATTTTTTGATGTAGGCGACTAAAGCTCTAAATTGGCTAAGTGTGATAAGATTTGAAACTCTTCCCGATGCTAGTTGTTTAGTGACTTGTCATGCCTTTCACATTAATCTGGCCATAATTTGTATGAAATAAAAATTAATACATTTTTGGGAGACAGAAAAGTGAGAAGATTTAGAGATTCCGACTCGAACCTGAAGTTCGAGAAATTATGGCAAATCATTGTAAATTATTGAGGGTATGGCGTAAATGCATCTCGAAAACCTCGTAAATAAGCCGATTTTCCACACAAAATTAGGTAAGTTTAGGAAGTTTACGTAGTTACGAGACATTTACCCGTTAAAATTGCTCTATTATTATTATTATGGGCCATATACACCGCGACCTCTCAAGTGGTCTATTGTGCGTGGGCCCCCGCCCTATATGGGAAGGCTTTTAATGTAGCTTAGCACCTCCAAGGGCGGTTTGTTCCAAATTTCAAATGGATTAAGGGTACCGCCACCAAAGTGGGCTAGTCTGCGCCTGGGGAGAGCATCACATTCACAGAGAATATGTGCTGGTGTTTCTTCGTCCAATTCACAGAAGTTTGTTTCTGAGAGATTGATTTTACTGAGGTGGTAACGAAGAGGACAGTGTCCCGTGTAGTACCCAGTGAGAGTTTTGAGTTCTTTGAAACTTTGTTTGAAGGACAGATAAATCGTTTGGCTTGGCTTTGCCCTGGACATTCCATCCAATGCCTGTTGAACATTTTTTCTACCCAGTTATTTATGGTCCCCTTCATTTGCGCTTTGGTGAGCCCACAAAACGGTTGCGGACCATAAAATACCGCGACAGCTCCCTGTTTCGCTAGGCGGTTAGCCTCCTCATTGCCATCATATCCCTCATTCCCTGGTACCCATCCTAATAAAACTGTATTCTTGGCACCAAGAGCATTTAGGACATTGAGGCAATCATATACTAGCTGAGAACTTATCTTGTGGGACTTCAGGGCCAGTAGGACTACCTGACTGTCCGACATAATGCAGATATATTTCGATGACGTTCCCCTTCTAAGACATTCTCTGCCACAAATTTCTATTGCATGAATATCCGCCTGAAAGATGGTGGGGTAGCTACCCATTGGTATAGATTTTTTAAAGTTCGCCACAAAAATGCCAGCCCCAGTTTTACCATTTTCAAGCTTAGATCCATCAGTGTACCAAACCTACCCATTAGGTTTGGTGAATGTTCCTATGTTCCAGAGAGTTCGATCTGCAATGTGTACCTCAAATTTCCTAGAGATTTCTAGTTTTGGAACTATTGCATCGCGCATTTGGAGTATGGAATCATTAGCGTATTTCATTAGGACCTTCATGTCATATTTCCGATTTTCAGGTCGGAGGTGTTCAGGATTCTCAGTGCCGCTGTGGTAGCCTTCTTTTCTATTGAAATAGGAAAGGGAGGTATTCCAACCAGGGCGCTGAGTGCATCAGCCGGGCAGGTCTTCATAGCTCCTGTTATGCCAATGCAAACTATTCTCTGCAATTTACTTTGCTTAGTGCTTGCAGCCCTTTGTGTAGCCTTAATCCACCATGCTAAGGAAGCATAGGTTACTATTGGCTAAACGACAGTGTTGAATGACCCGTAGGTCATTTTGGGTCTAAAGCCCGATATTTTATCAAAAAGTCGTGAGCAGGCAAAGAAGGCCTTCATCGCCTTGTTGACAACAGTGTCCAAATGTACATTCCAGTTAAATGTTTTATCAAGAGTTACTCCAAGATATTTAGCTTCACTGGAAAGTTCTATTTCTGTGCCACTCAAAGTGAGTTTAGTAGTAGATAATTTCCTCCTTCGAGTAAATGAAACAATAATAGTCTTCGTAGGATTGATAGTTAGGCCTTTATTCTCACACCATTCTTGTGTGATGCGTAGGGCGTGTTGCATGCAGTTGGTGATAGTTTCGTCATGAAGCCCTGTTATGCAGATTACCAGATCATCTGCGTAGCTTTGCGTATTAAAGCCTTGGCTGTTCAGTGTGAAAAGAAGTTCGTCTATAACCATAATCCACAAAAGGATTGGGCTTACACCCTTTCTTAACAAGGCATCTTTTTCTGCCTTATATGGTATGTTATCAAAAACCCTTGAAATATCAATGAAGGCGCAAAGGGCTATATTTTTAGACTCCAGAGCCTTCTCAATTTTTGAAGTAAGGCTATGAAAGGCAGTCTCAGTGGATATGCCAGGTTTATAGGCAAACTGGTTCTTATTGAGAGGCCGTTCCTTTAGCTTGACTTCTCTGATGTACTGATCCAGTATTTTCTCCATGCCTTTGAGAAGAAAGGAACTGAAACGGATGACGGTAATTGTTCCGGCTTACCATATGCTGGGAATGTGACCCAACAAGAGCTTAGATCTATAGAGTTTAGAGAAAACCGGCGCTATGTGTCTAATTCCATGCTGCAGGAGACATGGATAGATTCCACCCGGCCCTGGTGATTTGTATGGGCTAAATGTTGATAAAGCCCATTGCATACGCTCTACAGTGGTCAGCTTCGTAGCAAAGCTTTGTTCTCTTCCAGAGGTGGATGTTGTAGCACCAAATTCTGGTCTACAGTAGTCTTCTATATAGCACGGGAAGTGAGTATCCAGCAAAAGTCTGCTGATCTGACCCGGATGCCGACTGTAGCTCACATCTGGTCTCTTAAGGGTGCCATTTGTATTCCTGTAATCCCTTGTTAGAGCTTTTTGGAGGCGTACTGCCTCTGGGAGGCTATTTATTTCCGTACAGTGATTTCGCCAGCTAGCTCGTTTGGATTTCCTCAGCTCCTTGTTGTGGGACGTTAACGCAAGTTTATACGGATTCCAATCACCCGTATTTTTTTGCCCTATTGAATAGTCTTCTGGCCTGGCATCTCATTTGCTCAAGCTTCTTACTCCACCTAGACACATCTCGTTTGGATCTTACCTTTCCTTGGGGGGCAACTACTGTTGAAAGCTATTACAATATCTGAGTGAAGCTGTTCAGCTTCATTCTCAAGCTCCTGTTTGGTTATAATGGGGTGTTTGGGGCTGTTTCCGCCCAGCTTGTTTTCCGGGGATTTCTGAAAACAAGTTCGAGTTCAGGAAACAGACCGATGTCGAATTCTATATGCATATGGTCCGACATTGATACTTTGATGGCATGATGAAGATTCACTTTCAGATGCCTCGAGTTTGGGTTGAGCTTAGGGAGAGATGACATTACTTGCGGTCTTTGCGGCCGCGAGCAGTCACCTTCTTCCCCCTATTGCTACCCAGCAAGGCCTTCTCCTCGGCTGCCCCTGAACCTCCTTTGCTTTTGCGGCTTTGAGTAGCCGCTTTGGAACTTCCTTGCAGTGGTGGCCTTATTATGTTCGGAGGGAGCTCAACGGGCCTGACATTTTGTTGGGCTCTGTCTAGCACCTGCTGCAGGGTCAGGACTGACGTTGCTGAGGGTCGCGGAGGCGATGTCATAATGGCTTGAGCTACTGACAGCTCAGGCGACGGCTTTGTCTTTTCCGGCGCTTGCTGCTTCTGCACTTGTACGTCTGTTGAGAGCTGCCTCGGGGTGACGGTGACAGACTTCGAACAACAGGGTTGTTCGTCCGTGCCCGTTCCGTCGGTATCAGCTGCATCATTTTCTACCACTGGTACCAACGGCATGGCTTTATCGCTCAACTTGACCGTACCGTAGCCATAGTTGAAAACATTTCCTCTCTGTTTGAGGATGTCCGCCGAGATCGGGTCTACCACAATGGTGACTTGTGCAGCCGATTTAAGACTCGCCAGTCCATTATTTTCAGGCCTTCATTCTGCCCCTGAAGAGGTAGGAGCGCATCCTCATTCTTTGAGCTATCCAACTCTGGGAAGAATCCCACCAGAATTATGCGGCGAGGCGTTTCCGAATCCGCTCCCACCTTTATCTTTGCCCCTTTTCAGGGGCAAGCTTCGGAACTGTGGCCCTTATCCACTCCGCAGTTACAGCGTCCCTGCAGATAATGGATAACCATCCCGGACGAAAAGTGCAGCCATCAAAAATAGGCTTTACAGCGCTATCTTTGTTGCTTCTTATCGCCCTAAGGATGGCATTCTACATGGCGCTGAGTTCGTCCGTCGACCAGACGTATCAACCATCTCAGCGTCATACTGGGGACTATGCGCCGCGGTAGTGCTGTCAGGACAGTCCCCGTTTCGGCGGCTGTCCAAAGGCCATGCCCGGCCTCATCGGCGAGCTGTTCAGCTCCATCTGGTTTTTGTAATATATTTAATTTTCGTTTTACGTTTTCCATATCAGTGTTCCCACGAGTATGGGGGGATGGTAGTACCGCTGAGCGGGGCTTCTTACAACCAGATGCCGCCAGGTATCTGGAGGCCACCGTTATAAGGCACACTAACGTAGTGCCATTCATCCCATAAGCACGGTACAGATGACAATCGGAATTACGGATTTTATCGAGTTGTCCTCTCTAGATCCGCCATATTCAGTAAAAGCAGGGGCACCTCTCGCAGGGTGTGACTCTTCGTCACGTATGGTTGGTCTTGAGCCAACTGCTCCTGACTCAGAGCATTGCATCACGTATGGAACAATACCAAGAGCTTTGCCCCCTTGCTATAAATATATATATATATATAAATAGCGCATATTATAAAATCGGCCAGCTCAATGTGCACATTCGGTGCTCCTTGTTCTCTTAAGTTTGATATATTTTGGTAGAAAATTGTGTAAGGAAATATTTGTTATGTCGCAACATATCGTTAGTATATTTGAACTGCAAAAAAAGCCGCAACTAAGTAAAAATCCAAATTTAATTTTTTGATTGATTATGATGCGTTTCGTCGAATAACAAGCCCTCACATAATTTTATGCAACAAAAAACTTAGTCAGTAGTGGCATTTTTGCATTTCAGCGACGATGTGAGTTACGCCCTTTCCATACTATGCTAACGATGCGAACGTATGTATGTCACTAATGAATAAACTAAGTTATGCATTAAAAACCTACTTAAATACATATATACAAATATACATACATATATATACTTATACAAATATATATTTTTATCAATTGCAGGCATTATTTGTGTGCTTGCTGATGATTGCATTAGTATCCGCCGTTCCCGCAGAGGAGTCGCTACCAGGCGATCTTTTTGACCAGGATGAGCAAGGACGAGAGAATTTCTTCAAACTGAAGAAAATCAAGAAGCTGCTTTTGGGCTAAACTGCTAGAAGTCTGAATTTTTATTTAATTTTTCAAGCCGCGCCACATCATTTGTGTTCAAACTGTTTTTTTCTTACATATATAGTCTGCCCAAAAAAATTTTTAATGGCTAGCAAAGAAAATTATTATTTGTTTTGTTAATTCATATTTGCCATTAGATGTTGCTTTAACTCATTTTAAAAATTCTACAATAAATAAGGAAATTATTTCTGTAAATATCCACTAAGAGTTTTGTACATACCTACACACAAATACATACATACATACATACATATGTATGTATATTTGATATTGATAATAAATAAACACACCAAAAATCTCAAACGAATTTTAACAAAATATTAAAGCAATGGTGTTAAAATCAAGACAAACATCGTCCAAGCTGCGAAGCGGATATTTGCAACAAAAATATTCCTAGCACTGATCAATACCGAAATACTTATGTATTTATGTATGTAGAAATAACATGACAAAAGGTATTCTTGCTAATAGATTAACGACTTTTTAGAATTATGTAAGTTGGACCTATTACTCTCATTTACAATGCAAATATGATGACATCCTGCATAAAGAGCATTCAACTTTGAAAACTGGTTTCTTAGACTGATATGAAACTTAATTTGGTTTATTCTTTTGAACGTAAATATCATGGGAAGAAATATGCAAATGCCGCCGTTAAGCATTTTTGGAAATTGTTAATGAGTTTTTTGTTTGCATAGAAACTTAAGAACTTCTCTTGGCGAACCAATTATACATATGTATGTATGCTGCCCTAAAATTCCATTTATTTTAGGGCGGGATTCACAGTGCTTAGTTAAACGATTGTTAACTTAACCACCAACAAGAGTTCAACTTTGAATTTATATTCAGAGTCACATAGTTAACTATGAAAATTCATATCGCCTGAAAATATACAAATTCTAAATATCAATATGTACTTTTCTATTCAAATTTGAAATTCGTTCCACAAAAAAAAAAAAATCAAGTTCACAAGAGTTTAACTATGGCGGCATGCTGGTTTAAACTTTTGTTAACTGAGCGTTACGTATATCAAAATCAATAGTTTAACTTTTGTCAGTGGTTAACTACGTACTGTGGATTTGGCCCTTAGTGTTACAAAACATTCTAATATTCAAGAAAACGCATTTTGTACGCTCAATTGCTAATGTGGCTGATTTACAAGTGTTCTAAATTATAGTTCCCCTCAAAGCATAGAATAGACGGTTGAACATTTATATTTTACGTTTACAAATTTTTTATTTTCATTGATCTTTTATTTTTTTAACCTAATAGTATATATGTATATTATTTAGAGTATTTAATGTGAAGCCCTGGTATTTTTACTTAGCATTATCTGATAAATTAATTAAATATCGTGAAAAATGCGGCGTTTGTGTGTATGGTATGGCTGATTTTTTTCGCGTACAAAAGTGTTGGTTATTTGTTAATATTGCAAAATAGCGGTAGCTGTATGACGTTGCATAATCGAAAGGATTAACCCAAGAACAAAAGTTTCTTCAGCAGCTTGAGCTTCAACAGAATGCTCTTGTCATCAGTGGGCTCAACTGTGTCGCGAGCTCCTTCTATACCCTCTGGAATGGCTTCCTCCACAGGCACAGCGTTGACAGCCAATAAAAGGGCGCAGCAAACAAAGATGGTCTGTAAGAAGTAACAGTAAGCCTAATTTCATCACATTTATAAATAAAATTGGGGTGTTTTCTTTAAATCCAGTGTTGAGGCTAGCCAAAAACAAAATAAACAATTTTTGTTTGAATGCTGTCTGTTGCTGTTTTTAATTTTTAAATTTAAATCTTTTGATTTTAAGAGACCTAACAGCGGTAAGTACACGTACCAGAAGCAGGAATTTCATCTTGTGTTCTTTTTTATTTTTAGCCGAAACTGAGTAGTGCCAATAGCGGATGTTAACTGGTATTCATTTTAAATTTAGTACTACTATTTATACCTATATGCTCGCTGCCGGGTTGTCTGCTGGCATTGATTCTGCTGCTCTCTTGCTAGTAAAATGGAACTCGCCATAGCAATGTACGCAAATGTCAGGTGTTCACATATGAATGTATGTATGTGCATACTAGGAATGTTAATCCCGAGATCCCGGGATCCCGGACTTTTTAAGGTCTCGAAAATCCCAGGATTCTTGCCAAGTAATCCCGAGATTTTCGGGATTTATAATTTGCACTGATGGAAATAATAGAAACTCCTTTTCTTGACCAGTATTGGCTATAATTTTTTTATTATTTAATAATTAATATTTTTTTATAAATGTCTAGCTCAATATACATATAACACCTCGCGATAGTAAGTTTTAAACACAAATATCAATATATTCGCGAAACCATGGGCCAAATATAGTAAAATTGCGTTTTTAGTTTTTCACTCTGACGTCAGTAATTTAAAAATGATTTAAATAATTCAGAGAAATGTGCTTAGAGAAGAAGTATGGGTAGACAACTAATGAGACAATCCTGTAAAATTTAAACAGATTCAAGTTTCTGGTGCAGAAGGGCTGGTAAATATTGAAAATGTCATTTTAAAATTTAACGCTAGAAATTTCGCACTATTTGTTTTTGAAAAAATTATATGCTAAGGACTTATATAAACTCGATAACATCCCCGAGTTTCGTTCTTCTAACTTTGTCAGCTTAAAAATTGCCAATTCGTCCTTGTGAATCCAAAATATTTATATTTTTTCAATTCTAAAGCAATTTCCTATTGCATTTGTTACCCATATTTTTATTCTACATTGCATTGAATTTTTTAACAATTTTCGGAATTAATCATATCTTTGAAATTATAAAGTCCTTCAAAATAAATCATGCGGTCAGAGAGAAAAAATAAAATAAAAAAGTATTTATTTCATGGTAGGAGAGCTTCTCTAACAATAAAGGAGCAATTTTTTCGATTCAAATTGTTGAAAAGTAACAACGCCATCCCGGAAATCCCGGGATCGGAAAAAGCCGAAAAATTAACATATCTAGTGCATACATACTCTTCTAAAGCATTGTCTTGATTGATGTGGGGATCAGGGAAGCCACCTCGAGGAGAATTACCCGATTTGCAGGGAATTTCAGTTTGCGTGGTGAATCGGGGAATGGACCCTTTTTTGTAGGGAATTACAGTTCGTTCAATTCTAGTACAACAAAGCTTCTAATGGCTAAAAATTACTGTTGATTTTTTAGAAAATTTCTTTGCCGCATTTGCTTTCATATAACAAATAAACACAATTTACTTTTATTTGGAAGAAAAGCGCAACAACTTCGGCAAAAGTTTCTAAAACGAAAATTTTTACCCACTTGAAACTTGCACTAGAACTGAGTGAGTTAGTAAACTGCATACTCAAAATCTTTCTAGAAAATCTAATTAAAAGGTCGAACTTTTTATGAAAGTTTGTTGATTTTTTTTTAATATTGCACAAAGCTTGAAACTTGGATTTATACGGTTTTCGTCAAAGAGTTAACTATATATTAATAAAAAAATAACTCAAATTAAATAACAAAAAAATAATAATTGTGAAAACTTGATAATATGTGGTGCGACTAAATTTTTTTCGACCATTGCATGTATGTAAACATTATATAAACATTTTTTTTTATTTTTTATTTATTAACTAACTTTATAAAAGTTTGGTTTCGTTTATGAATACATAACAATAAAATAAACATAAAGACCAGTGTTGGTATTTGAGATTTTTAAATTGTACAAAATTACCGACAAAAACTGTAACTTTTTGAGCTTAATTGTACTTTTCACCGTTTCCGTCAAGGCACTACCTCCCGTTTTCCTTCAACTAAACATACACCTTTTTCTTCTACTACAGTGAGTTTATCTTTCAGTTCATTGTGCAGCTTAAGTTGGTGTAGACTTCATTTAACCTAACTTATCAGTGAGATCTCTCCAACTAGACTATAAAGTCACAAATAAATTCTTAAATTATATTCTAAAAATTATATGTAAAAAGAAAAATTTAAATTAATCTGAAAAAATATAAAAAAATAGCCTAACCCGGGTAACCGTATAATTTTGTCGCGAGATGTACATATATTCAAATATGAAGACAATAACGACAAAAAATAAATACCGAAGATAGATCAGTTTACTTAAGGGAAAATAAATCACATAAAATGAGATAAGTAACACTAAAATGGAATTCCACAGTAGAAATTGTTAGTTTCAACGCATGCAATTTACCTAAAATTTTCTTTAAAATTCCTTCATTTTCTGCAGGATCGTCATTAGGTAAGCTGCACTTCCAAAGATTTTTTTTAAATAAATAGGGATGATTTCACCCACCGTTGATAAAAAAAATTGTAATAACCACAACGTTCAACACTAATATTACCATTCACAATCACGTTTACTTTCAAAATTACAATTCAGGATTTAGTTTTGTACCAAATCTGAAATGTAAGTATGTTCATTTACTTAAACGCAAACGGATTAATAATCAAAGTGGCAGAGATTTCAGCGTTTTGTACAAAAAGTATTTTTGATGTTCAAATTGTACTTAAAATCGGTAAATTGTACTTTTGTACTTTTTAGAACTAATTGCACTGAAAAAAGTACAATTGTACTTAAAATATCAACACTGATAAAGACCAGCAATATATTAAAATATATAGATAAATTTTTTTTTATAAATAAGGAGATATCTGGATGATATCTGGAGATGGGTGGGGAATTTTACGAAATTTCGGGCGAAATCGGGGAGTTTCATTGCCGAAATCGGGGAATTCTCAAAAATGAGTTGGCTACCCTGGTGGGGATGCATTGTCAGTTGGCGCCCAGTGATTTTTTTAACATAAATTAGGTTCTCTGCTGAGCCTTCTTTACCCGTTACGAGTCTTTCGTACCGCTGTCTCTGTTGACTTATTTTAGTATACGGCAATATTTTCTCCAAAGAGAAGATTATCATATTGTTGTTGTTTTTTTATTGACCATCATTTTTCTCATAGCAAAATAATTACTTTGTTATATTTGGTAGCTAACCTACGCGCCAGTGTTGAGTTTGAAAACAACTTCTGTATATGAACGTACCAAATAAGACACAAAAGTTTTAGCTTAAATGTTCATAATACATATATGTATTTTCTTTTACATAAATAATATTCTGCAGTAAAGTAGTACCGGAGATCGAAAATAATGATTATTTTAAAATTTTCCATGAAAACAAGTAAAGAAGTATAAGTTCGGGGGAAACCGAATTTTATATACCCGGCACAGGTATCAGATATCACCGTTTCAACTT